GTATTTCTTGAGTTATCGTGCTCACAGACAAACACACACATACACACACACACACATACACACACACACATACAAACCCAGATGATTACATAACCTCCTGGCGGAGGTAATCATATTACTTTATTTTGCTCACATGATAATAAAGGGTTATTAACCGAGAGCGAGGTCTGTAGGGGAAAGTATTTGCCTGAGGTTTATCCGCACAGACCTCGCTCCTTCATCGCTCGGTCTGTACAAAAACCTCAGGCAAATACTTTCCCCTACAGACCTCGCTCTCGGTTAATAACCCTTTATTATCATGTGAGCAAAATAAAGTAATATGATTTTTTCTGTGTTGGTGTAATGTACTCAGGTGAATATGATGCTTGTGATGTTACTCTGAGTGTATATCCACACCGGGCAAGCTTGAAAAGTATGCCTGACCACGGTGGGAATCGAACCTACGACCTTTGGAATACTAGCCCAATGCTCTGCCAACTGAGCTACGCGGTCTGGTCGGTTCGAGTATGTGATATTTCGGAACAGAATATATCTAATCTAGTTCCTTTGATATCGAAGGAACTAGATTCTGTTCCGAAATATCACATACTCGAACCGACCAGACCGCGTAGCTCAATTAGCAGAGCATTGGGCTAGTATTCCAAAGGTCATAGGTTCGATTCCCACCGTGGTCAGGCATATTTTTTAAAGTAATATGGTTGGCTAATTTAGTCATGAATTATTATTGAGTTTGAGATAGTTAGAGAACGACATGAAACACTAGAGCAGCTGCAGTAAGTTACTCTTTCTGTATCATCCCATACAATTCCTACCAATCATCTGGTCACCGCCAAATCAAAATGTCTTCGCTACACCCTTTGTTTCCACGTGAGAGCGAAAAGCTGACTAACGCGAGAAAGAAATTCAAATCACATCTTTTCATGTGTTAATTCATGATTGATAATATCTACGCGGCGAAGACCAAATTATAAACAAGTAAAACAGCAATTAGCGGATCGTTACACAGCTCTAATTCGTCCTAATTGACAATGATAGATCTTCAGTAACAAGGCGGAGTTCCTGACCGCCCAGTCAATGATACTAGCATAACAAACGGTTTGAAAAATCTACATACGCTTGAGCTCTGCGTGTAATTTGCATATAATGCGACATACTTCCTCAAAGTACTTTATTTCAACATGATAGCAAAAGTTTATGTATTTGGTTTTATGTTTGGATTCGATGAGTGTTAGCGCATGGGTCCTCAAACTAAAGCAAATGTATTTTGTACTGGATGCTCTATCAGTTTCAAACTGTTCTCCCTAGTGGTCCAGTGAGCATCATCTCTTATTGATCCCGTGTTACTATAGGAGGAAACTTAAACCAAACTAACTTTATTAATACTGGATAGATCTATCAGTTCTAAACGCGAGGTTCAACAAGGGTCATCTTTTATTTGCCCTTTATTGGACTCTGTTATCTGTTTGAAATATTCTAGTTATTACATTGTTTCTTCTTCAGTTTTACCTCCCGCGGTTGAGAATTGGATTGATTTGTCACTCGTACAATTTAAATTGCTATTAAATCGGAGCAATAATAAGTCGATTACTTCATATAGTTTACAAGGTTAATCCAATTTAGAAACAGCGGCAATTCCGAAGCAATTCCCAGCAAATTACGGAGCATAATGAAAACCAAATCTTGAAGTATTTTTATATCAAAAACCATGATGTACAATTACATTGTCGCTTTGTGGTCTAAATATACGACTTCTTCGGATAATATGTTTTAGCTTTAGATTTCAAGACCATTCTGCGTTCCTACATATTTCTTCATTTTAATACCTTTACAATGGGTAATTTTTTTCATGACATTTTTTCACATGATAAGTCACTCGCGGAGTTTTAATTTAATTACCATATTGTACACGACCGCCGTTCATTTCAAAGCCTAAGCTGGCTGAAGGAACCGTTTTATCATAAGTTAAAACACTTTCAAATTAAGAAACAGAGAGAAATTATACAGGTTGTTCTAAAATCAACCCCCTTCGACCTGTTTTCATTTCAGAACCATGCTTTGCGTGAGACTGCTAAAGACAGATGTTATGATCATTAAACCGCAGTATGCATGTATATTTTCTAACTACCTTGATAATAGCACTAGAATGCTTTCAAAACAAACTTATTTTGAAAGCAATTTTAAAACTATATGTGGCATTCTTAAACTCTCATCACACCCAAGATTGTAAAACCACTGCCTCTCGTAATCTCTACACGCTGTTTTATTCGAAATGAGTCTCCAAAAAAATCTCAATCTCTTTTGTATTGTCAGAGGAACACATTTATTTATAAAGATGTACTTTCTGTTTTTACTAATCTAGGCCGAATGTGCTCCAAAAACTCTGTCCTGTTTGAGAGTGGAAATTGTGAGAAACTATTCGCCCTAATCTGTAAGTACATCTTAACTTACTAGACTTGTACAGTTCAAAGATTTCAAAGCAAAACTTGTGGTGTTTGTGATACTAATTCTATCCTACAGACAGCCAATTATGCGATAACTAACAATTGAAAGTTTTTGTTTAACCATGCTGAGAAGCGTACAAATTTTCTGTCATTTTCCAAAACAAAAGGAAACGCACAGTTTTGGTTAAAAAAGGCGCACTCCCGTTGCGAATTGCTGGGGTTCGGAACGCGCTACAGGACAGCAGATGGTTGTCAATTTCAAAAATAGAAAAGAAAATTAAATTTTTCAATTCAATTTCTTTGTTACCAAGACTACTACTATAATGAAAATAATTAACATTATTTTACATTATTTTCTCACTCTGATAACTGCAGGTTGACTACGATCTGCTGTACGATAATGCTTAGTGAAACCTACTCATGGGATCGTGGGATAAATAATGACAGTTCGCGGTGAAATTTAAAAAAATGGAACTTTCTGAGTGTCGGCTTGGCGTTTCTAGTGACAAATGAATGAGTTGGTCACAGAGGGTTGCCGTTACAGAAGGCTGTTTTCAGAGCATTCCATGACTAACGATTTAATTGCACGCGAATGAACAAAGCGCAGACGCCGTGACTGAACGCACGGATATTTTGCATATATTGCGTCGTATGATTTGTGTCGTCGTCAGTACACCAGAAACAGCTTACATTTGACTGCGGATGAGCTTAGTGGATCTTTCGTCATTGCACAAGTCATGTACTTCACAGGAGTGTTTTTATTCTTTCTCCTACAAGAGGGGTATAGTATTCCTCTATGCCGTCGTATGCCGAGCGCAAAATTCACGAATATTTCCCGGGAGGCTTTTAAAAAACTAAGCTCGGAAACATGGCAGGGCAGCCCACTTGACAACGAAGGGAAAATACCTCTTCAGTCAACAAATCATCGCAAAAATTCCAGTGTACCGCAATTCAATTCCACCAAACTGAAGGAACTTCTGGGCGAGAGTTTCGACCCGAAATTTATGTCAGAAACCAAACCAAATCGGGCGTGGTTAGAAACGAAAAATCAGCTTGACCGTCGAACCGCATTCGAAGCTTACAAGCACGAGGGAGGAGGTGTTGACTCGATCACAACACTGTTGGATAAGAAAGAAATTCATTTAAACGGAGTCGAATTCGAAGACATGCGTGTTTGGCTTTGGAACTTAACGCGTTGTACAGTCGAACCATCATGGAAGGATTTCGGTAGCCATGTTTGGCCTCGTTATGTAAATTTTGGAAAGTGTTCAAACAAACCTACTTGTTCGTTTCCAAGTGGCATGAGATGTCGGCCAAGCGAGGAGAAGAGTGTGAGGTTATTGTATTGGTTTTGTCCTAAGAACGTAAAAAGGTGTTTTTGGTCTTCGTTTGGGACGAAGGTTCTTCGCGCATGTAGTTGTTCCTGTTAAGTCTCTGTGCTTTGATAGAGATGTGTTTTACGAAGCACTATCGTACAGCAGATGGTGGTCAACTAACAGTTATCAGAATGAGAAAATTATGTTCATTAGCCTCTCTCACGAAGGCCAAATTCGCCATTCTTGGGGTACTTTTTTGAAAACGACGTGAAAAATCTAGTAAGCGATGTGAAAACATTTTTTCAAATATTTAACTGTAAATTAACTTATAATGATTATACTCACAATTATAGTTATGCAAGCCCCTTATTCACTGCGTACAATCTCAGATTTGGAAAAGCCAGTACCCCAAAAATGGTGGCGTGAGAAAGGCCAATTCTCTTCATTCTTGCAGTAGAGAAATGTGTGCATGCTCATTTATGTTTTTGGCCGCCCTTCAGTTCAACTGTTGATCACCATCAGCTGTCGTGCAATGCTTACTGAAACTCACCAATTGGGAAATTTGAGCGCCGTGATTATGAATTCACGCCTGTACTGAGACGCGATTTCTTCGGGAGGCACGCAGTGAAACTGGAAATATATATGCATAGACACGCGAATTAATATACACTATAATTGCTACTATATCGCTAAATTTAATGAGAAATCAATTGTAAATATATATAGCACTAACATCTAAGTTTGGTCTGCCACTGCATATATATATTTGGCATTGACCATTCGAACGTACATTTTCATCAGTTCCATGTCTTTGTCAGTTTGTTAATTAATTTTAATCATATAATTATGTGCAATTGCGCAAATGTTATGTATTGTACTTAGAACGATATATAACAATTTATGTATTATACCAGTGTCACCGACTTTTCTCGTAAATATTCGCAGTTTAGTGAGTAATAGCGGGAAAATATGATACAATTTTACAGTCGCGAGTTCCTCATTAACATTTTGTGCTCGAATTTTTGTGTCGGCGCGATAAAGTTCTCACAAGTGATTTAGGCGCTTTACAAAGTAAATTAGTCATTTTATCGTAACTTATACTCGGGTCTTGTAACTTTTTCGTGCGAATAAACACCACTGAATGGACGACAACATTACGCTCAGATTCCACACGTAAAATCACTGTTTTCTCCACTCGGTATTCAGGGTATACCGGTTCATTTTCCATCTTTGCGTAACTTAAAAATTAAAATTTAGCAAGTGAGAGTTTATCATATACCCAATAATGACATCAGCCAAGAGATCCGTGGTGTTGGGCTAGTGCAATGTCAGTTTTCAAAATGCTTTCTACTTTATAAACCGCTCTAGTAAAATATATCTGAAAAATTGAGGGCCAGCACTGCAATAGTGTTTGCATGGATACTCCGATTACTGGGTATAGATATTGTCTTCTGAAAAGATAAAATATGAAGTTCCATAAGGTTCCATTTTGGGTTCTTTGCTATTTTTAGTAAAATATTTAAACTCTGAACTTGAAAATATCTAGTCGTAAATCAGTAAAAAAGATAAATAAAGAATTATGGTTAAACCTGATGGTCCTACATGGCCCTCTGGCGTTAGACCGAATGAATAGCTGAATAATAATGTTTTGATGTTACTCTGAGTGTGCATCCACACCGGGCAAGCTGAAAAATTAGCCTGACCACGGTGGGAATCGAACCCACGACCTTTGGGATACTAGTCCAATGCTCTGCCAACTGAGTTAAGAGGCCAAGTCTGTTCGAGTGTGTGGCATTTCGGAACTAAGTCTAGTACCTTCGATACCAATGTATCCTATGATATGAAATTTTTGCATGTGTATTTCAAAGGTCGTGGGTTCGATTCCCACCGTGTTCAGGCTAACTTCTCAGCCTGCCCGGTGTGGATATGCACTCAGAGTAACATCAAAAACATTATATTCACCTGAGTATATAACACCAAAACACAGGCAAAAATATCATAGCATGTAATTAAAAATTTAAAATACCTGAAAATGGTCGGATCGTACCGCTCGTAACTGCCTGGTTTGCAGAAAGCTTTAATCAGAACACACCATTCGTCACCGTGTGATTCCACTTTCTCTGCATAAACACTGTCGGCAGCGTACCAGATACTAGGAGAAACAAATATTGCCGCAGCCCAATTCTGAACTCCCTGATACTCTTTACCTAAAGCGTAATGACCAGGGGGTGGTTTGATACCTTTCTTTCCAGCTGGAAGAAGACCGTGTTCCATGATTGATTCCAGATTTTTGTACCGAGTGCCGTGCCAGGTCAGCTTCCAAGACTGCATCAATTCTGGTAATTTTACACGTGTTTCTGCGTCGTAAGCATTTAGATGTCGGATGAACTCTATCGCGAACACTTGCTTGTTTGCTTTGTTTCGGCATTTTCGCACTTTAAAGACGAGTTTTCTTTCCTTCATTATACCTGCCAGGCTGTAGATAGGGCTTGAGTGTTGATTTTCAATCATGTTCCTTATTTCTGTTGTCGCACTTTCTTCCAAAGCAGTTTTACCCCATGAGTTTTTTATGTCAGTTCGCGCGACATACTCAAACAATAACTCAACAACTTGAGGGTGACCAAAGTATGCTGCAGCGTGAAGGGGTGTGCTACCATCTTTTTGGATCTTATTGTTATCTGCGTCATTTTTTAGCAGCATTTTCACTATGTCAGTAAAGCCTGATTTACAAGCTAGGTATAGCAATGTGCGACCGTGTTCGTCTGTGGATTCGATCAAGGATGCGTTTTTTTTTATCATGTTGCGAAGCTCTTCTGTGTCACCGTAAGCTGCCACAGTGAAATGGTCAGGATTTCTGATGATATACAGGTCAGTGCCTTGCTGTCCCTGGTATCTTGGTGCTGTCGAGGTTAAAATATGATTGGCAAGGGAAATTAATGCTTGATTTTGGACCGGTGCGCCTGCGATCATTTTTTTGAAGGCCAGTTTAACATCATTGTGCGAAGACGAACCTGAGTTTAGACCGAGAATTTTCCAAGGGTTGAAGGGGAATTGAATACAGACACTAGATTGGCCAATTGTATATGATATCAAAGAAAATGGTGCATTGGTAGCTTGGCTAAGCATTGGCGGGTTGATAGCTGTAGGAGGATTAGAAGAAACTGGTTCGGGAATCGGGTTTGCGCCGCTTCGTATATGTGTATAGCCTTTTCGACCAGTCATTTTCTCGTACATAGAACTGAAAAAACCTCCCATTGAAAAATCTAAAACGGAATAACAAATAACCTGATTTAACAGACCTTTCTGATACTGTCTTCATCTTTATGCCTGCGTGTATACTTTGGCTATAATTATAACTGGAGTGCTATTCATCCTTACTTCAGTGCCCATGAGAGGTATGAGTCTGTCAGTCTGAATTACAAAGGATGCAGCTCAACCGGGACCAGTCAAAGGATTACTATGAGGGCGCTTCTCTAAATCCGATCACAGGGCACAGCTATGGCACAGCTATGACACAACCCCCCCCCCCGGTCAACATTCTTGTTGGAAGAAACTGGAGGGAACCCATGATTTTGGTAAAACGTTGGCGTATCATGAGCGATCTCACGAGTTCGTAGCATTGAAAGCCGACAATAAGTTTGCGAAGATCCAGTATATGATTGGCAAGCAATTCGCCGAAGGCGAAGTAATTATCGGTGAGGTTTTTATTCACGAGGTTTTTATTCACGATAATCACCGAGCCTGAGGTGAATAATTGTTTTAACTAATTTCATAGGTGATTTTTTGGAAAAAAATTAAAATACACATTTCTTCGTCATTTAATTGACAAAATGGCTTCGGCCGCCATTTCGAATATCGCTTAGGTGATTATCGCGTTTTATTATATAAAGTATAGTGCTTTATGTACTATTTAAAAAACGAGCAGGAGTGTTTTATTAGGTTTAAAGCCACGAGCGCGCAGCGCGAGTGGCTTTAGACCTAATAAAACACGACCCGCGAGTTTTTTAAATGACTTCAAAAACGTATGCATAATAAGTCAAATCTTTATATAAAAATCTTTATACAAAAATCTTTATATAAAATTCTTTATATAAAAACCTTTATATAGTTTGCATAACAATGGTCTTTTGTTAAAGTGTTCTTTAGCTGGTATAAAGACGTATGCACGTGACTAATTTCTTACTCAAGATTGGATAATTGCTTCATGAATTATTAATGAGTTTTTGAAAGAGATTTCGAGCACTGATAAAACTGATACATTATTTATGATATCTCACATGTGAAATGATTATCGCTTTTCTGTAAAAAAATATGCGAAATTATGTAAAGAAATAAGTGGAAAAAGAAATTTCTGATAAAGAAATAAGCGAAGTTAAAAATAAATTCAGTCCCAAAAAAAAACACGAAAGCCATGTGTAAAAATACGGGACTAGCTAACAGTCGTGGGTCGTGGGTAGAATGTCGTGGGTCGTGGGTAGAATGTCGTGGGTCGTGGGTAAAAAGGTCGTGGGTAAAAAGGCGTGGGTCGTGGGTAAAAAGGCGTGGGTCGTGGGTAAAAAGGCGTGGGTCGTGGGTAAAAAGACGTGGGTCGTGGGTAAAAAGGCGTGGGTCGTGGGTAAAAAATCGTGGGTCCCGAATAAAAAGTCGTGGGTTCCAAGCAAAATATTTCCATATATTTACCTTTCTCCCTTTGGAATGCGGGGTTTTTTTTCTTCTGAGGCTTTCCCAAACTATGCCCAAATATGCATAGCTTAGAGCGCGTTAAGGCCGGGTTTTTGATATCGGCAGATCGGTTTATAAATATTATAACCAAGTGTGGATGAAACAGTTCAACTTCACGCCCCATATAGTTCAAATATTTGGACGTTATAATCTTATAGACAGATAAATTAGTTACTGCAATTCTTCAATAAGAATATGGCTCAAGGCCACATGTACGAAAGCTGAGTAGCACTATCCACTCGATATTATAGTCAATTTTTTATAACCGGCAATGGCATCATATGTTTTCAAAGCTATATATGGAACTGCGGAGTATAGCTAACCATTTAATTAATAAAATAATATGACATTTGACTTATATATGGTCTTCATGTATATACTATACAAAGAATTCGAAGATCGCCGGTCTGCAAAATAGTGATGCATCGATATCCACATCGGTAATTTTGTTGTTGATATTACCGACATCGTCGTAAACATTACAAGAAAATATATCTCTAGACCAACCAATGTTGCTGTTATTTAAAACTGCTGAAGTCTATCCTAAACGATTTCTGAAATATCGCAAACTACAAACGGAACAAACCTTGCATGTAAACAATGCTACTCGGGCTGTTATTAAATAAGCGCTGTGAAATTTCAAAATTCCAACTTGCCATTGACTTCGCTGAAACTTGATGCTCAAGAAATATGTAGAAGTATACCTCAGTCTCTGTTATCAAACCTACGGTAAAATAATCCGACAAAAGCCTACTGAAAGATAAGTCAAAGCATAAATGTTACAAATTACAATATTTGTAACTTATATGTTTGACATTAGAAAATACAAATCACATAATAAATTTGACACTAGATTCACTACTGCAACATCATGGTTAGATACATTCATGGTTAGATACATCGTAGTATGTACGTATACATCATGGTATGTATTTAAGTGAAATCTCTCAAATGCTTTCTTTTATTTTTCCCTAGTAAATTAACAGAAATTGCATTAAATTAACACTGTCCAAGTGGAAATTTCTCGCTTATTACTGTAAGAACATCGATCAACAAATTAGTGAAGCCCTGAATGTCAGAATTTAGCTATTTATGACAGGCTTGACAGCACTATTTCCTATTGAAGAATTACAATATTTATCTGTCTATAAGATTATAACGTCCAAATATTTGAGCTATATGGGGCTTGAAGTTGAACTGTTCCATCCACACTTGGTTATAATATTTATAAACCGATCGGCCGATATCAAAAACCCGGCCTTAACGCGCTCTAAGCTATGCATATTTGGGCATAGTTTGGGAAAGCCTCAGAAGAAAAAAAAAACACGCATTCCAAAGGGAGAAAGGTAAATATATGGAAATATTTTGCTTGGAACCGACGACTTTTTATTCGGGACCCACGATTTTTACCCACGACACACGCCTTTTTACCCACGACCCACGCCTTTTTACCCACGACCCACGCCTTTTTACCCACGACCCACGCCTTTTTACCCACGACCCACGCCTTTTTACCCACGACCCACGCCTTGTTACCCACGACCCACGCCTTTTTACCCACGACCCACGCCTTTTTACCCACGACCCACGCCTTTTTACCCACGACCCACGCCTTTTTACCCACGACTTACGACTTTTTACCCACGACCCAGGACTTTACCCACGACCCACGACATTCTACCCACGACCCACGACATTCTACCCACGACTGTTAGCTAGTCCCTTCGGCCTTTTGGGCGTCATCAGTGTAGTGCCGATGAGCAAGATGAAAGTAACCACTATATATAGAGTGTCCCTATATGTCGTGTGTCGCGTGTCGTGGGTTAAAAGTCGTGTGTCGTGGGTAAAGTCGTGGGTAAAGTCGTGGGTCATAAAATGTGCTAAAAACACATTTTTTCATATTTTTATCTTTAATATTTTTTTCGTACTTTTTCATTTTATGCGCTAGATAAATACAGGAAAATTTAACGCAGCAAATCTCCAGTAATACAATAATTTCTTATCTTGCTGTTATCTATAGTATAACAAGTAAATGTTTGATTTTGTTCCCGTTTCGTATAGTCTAATAAGCCTATAGAATATAAGTTGATGATAAAATGTCTTAATTAGTTATAGGATATAGGTTTATCAATTAGCTTTGGAAGTGTTATAGTCCCTATCATGAACGTCGCGAATAACTATATCGATTGCATATGTCTGATACAAATTCATATTGTCTATTGAGCTATAAATTTACGCTGCAGTGCCTCGGTATAATTAGTGGCCAACGCTCGAGCCTCAAATTTTGCTATTTTATCTCCCAGACCTAATATATGTTCGTGGCCCTTAAAGGTCGACAAACATTTCATGTGTGATGTGTATGTGGCGTTTTGAAATATTCCATAAATTGCTACGATTTGGGATTTCCCGATTGAAAACCGAAATGATTTGTGTGATATGTCGGGCTAATTGCCAACCGAGCGCGCTAGCCGCTGTTATTTCGACAGAATATGATACCTCTACACTACCTCTACACTTTTCAACCGTAATTTTCAGCGCGCATTGTAATCATATACATATCGTTTAATTTAGCTTCAAAAACTTGATAAAAAACATGTTATTCGTGTTGGTTCCCGCGGAGTGCAATGGTGTCATAGTTGCCAGAGGCAGACCACATGCAAAGCCGCCTCGGTATAAATCATGTATGTAACGGGAATCTTGCTTATTTCAGTCTAATAAAGTCAACCTTTTTTCTTTGATATTAATGTACGCAACATGCTGCGCATTTTACATTTAACAAAATAAGTTTTTGAAGCTAAATTAAACGATATGTATATGATTACAATCCGCGCATTATTGATTACGGCTGAAAAGTGTAGAGGTATCATATTCTGTCAAAACAACAGCGGCTAGCGCGCACGGTTGGCAAATAGCCCGACATGGCGACATCGCACAAATCATTTCGCTTTCAATCGCGAAATCCCAAATCGTAGCAATTTATGGAATATTTCCGAACGCCACATACACATGAAATGTTTGTCTACTTTTAAAGGGCCACGAACATATACTAGGTCTAGGAGATAAAATAGTAAAATTTGAGGCTCGAGCGTACGTTGGCCACGTAGAGTTTATAGCTCAATATGTTTGCATCAGACATATGCAATCGACATAGTTATTCGCGATGTTCATGATAGGGACTATTACACTTCCAAAGCTGATAAACCTATATCCTAATATCCTATAAGCCTATAACTTAGGGCATTTTATCATCAAACAATACATTTATAGACTTATTAGACTATACGAAACGGAAACATTTATACTTGTTATACTATAGATAACAGCAAGATAAGAAATTGTTCTATTACTGAAGATTTGTTGCGTTAAATTTTCCTGTATTTATCTAGCGCATAAAATGAAAAAGTACGAAAAAATATTAAAAATAAAAATATGAAAAAATGCGTTTTTAGCACATCTTATGACCCACGACTTTACCCACGACTTTACCCACGACACACGACTTTTAACCCACGACACACGACATATAGGGACACTCTTTCATTAACGGATACTTTGTAACCCCAAATTACTTAATACTTTAGCATATTTTTGATTATTTTTTAACACCTAAAAATCGTGTAGATTTGGTGTAAGCCACGCCAAGATGTTGGAGTTTAACTACATTCTGTTAGGTTTCGGGTCATAGTTTTACCAGCTAACTGAACTAACGTTCTGTCTGATCTAGAAAGATATCAGTGGACTTTAAAACTCCTCGACATTCTTACCCTGCGCGCAGTTACAGGCTAAGACATTCTTAAATCGAAGCTTACTTTATAGTAACCAACAGTCAAGAGTATAACTGTGACAAAGCTATTATTACAGACTTACAGTACTATTAGCGTGTCACTCGCAAAGGTAATATGAAATGCACTGATATCTTTCCAATCAGACAGAACGTTTTTTGGGGTTACAAAGTATCCGTGAATGAAAACCCGAGTGAAAACCGGGACTAGCTAACAGTCGTGGGTCGTGGGTAGAATGTCGTGGGTCGTGGGTAAAAAGTCGTGGGCCGTGGGTAAAAAGTCGTAGGTCGTGGGTAAAAAGTCGTGGGTCGTGGGTAAAAAGGCGTGGGTCGTGGGTAAAAAGGCGTGGGTCGTGGGTAAAAAGG